TATATATATATATATTGGTTTTCTTTGATATTTATATGTTTTTGGTTTGAGGAAATTTATGTGCAGGTTATGAAGGAATTGACATTATGGTGCCAAGGCCTGGAATGAAGTTCAAAGACGAAAATGAAAATTTTGAATTTTATAAGAAGTATGCATACCAAGTCAGGTTTCCTGTTAGAAAAAGAAATTCAAGGAAGGGTGAAGACGGGATAGTACTATATGTATGCTTCACATGTAGTCGAGAAGGACGACGAGCCACTACTACAAGTTCTTCTTTAAAGCGAGGGTGACAGCATGTTCGGAGATAGGTGGAACATGGCGTATTAACACCGTCTATCTCGAGCACAATCATAGAATAAACCCATCTAAATCGAGGTTATATCGATGTAATAGCGAAATTAGTGCTCGCATCAGAAGACAGCTTGAAATAAATGACATTGCTGGAATTCCATTGCACAAAGGCTTTAACTTCGCCGTAGTTGAAGCCGATGGATATGACGAGATGTCGTGCGTTGAAAAAGATTGTAGAAATTTTATTGATAAAGTGCGACGCTTAAGGCTTGGTGAGGGAGATGCCACTGCAATTCAAACCTTTTTCTCAAGAATGCAAACAAGTACTCCTGGCTTCTATTTTAGTATAGATTTGGATGAAGATTGTCGGTTGAGGAATGTGTTTTGGGTGGATAATAGATGCAGAGAAGCCTATAAGGAATTTGGTGATGTGGTCACTTTTGACACCACATACTTGACCAACAAGTACGATATGCCCTTCGCTCCATTTGTTGGAGTTAATTATCACGGCCAATCAACACTTCTTGGATGCGGCCTAATTTCGAATGAAGATACTTAGACTTTTGTATGGTTGTTTAAGACATGGTTGGAATGCATGCACGGTCAAGCTCCAAATGGAATTATAATGGATCAAGATCGGGCTATGCAAAATGCAATTGAGATCGTCTTCCCAAACACGAGACACGGATGGTGTTTGTGGCATATTTTAAAGAAGTTGCCAGAAAAGTTCGGCAATCATAGGCACAAAAATTCTAGTGTTTCTAGTGTACACGGATTGGTGTATGATACACAAAGTCCTCCAGAGTTTGAGGAAAAATGGCATACGATGCTTGTACGTTATGAACTGTAAGAACATGGTTGGTTGACTGGACTTTACAATGATAGAAGGCGTTGGGTGCCATGTTATTTGAAAAATTTATTTTGGGCTGGTATGTCGACCACCCAACGAAGTGAGAGCATAAATGCCTTTTTTGATGGATATGTTCATTCAAAAACTTTCCTGAAGCAATTTGTAGAACAATATGAGCGGGCATTGAGAAGTAAAGTTGAAAAAGATTTTCAAGCTGATTTCAAATCATTTTCACAGATGATCCCTTGTGCAACAAGGTATGATATGAAGAAACAGTTTCAATCAGTGTACACGATCTCTAAGTTCAAAGAGTTCCAGCAAGAGTCTACGGGGAAGGTGTATTGTGAGATCTTATCTGCGACAAACTCATATTTTGACTCCACTTACGAGGTTCGTAAGGATATCATTAGCAATGAAGGCATGAACAAACAAATTTTTACAGTTTCATTTCGTAGGGAAAATTGTGAATTTGAATGTAGTTGCCACTTATTTGAGTTTAGAGGATTATTTGCATGCATGCAATCTCAGTTTTAATCTGTAACGATGTGGTGTTAATTCCGGAGAGATATATATTGAAGAGATGGAGACGAGATGTGAACCGAACTTACATGAGGGTTCCCATCAAATATGATGGTTTTGTCAATAGCGCCGAGCAGGTTAGATATGAACAACTATGCAATACGTTTACCAAATTAGTAGATGTGATAGCACATGACGAACAATGATGTAGGAGAATTATGGTTTTGATCATGTTTGAAACAACAGAAGCATCTCAGTCGAAGTGTATTAATGTGGGCTCTCAATGTGTTGACTCAGTAGCATGTGCTAGCAGAAGCGTATTGGACCTGAAGTACACGAAACGCAAAGGAGCCCCTAGAAAACTTCGTAGAAAGGGCCATCTATAAACTACTTCGAGTAAATCTAAAAGTTCTCGAAAGGTATGAAATTCATTCAAGTTTTGTAACATACTTTTAGCTTGCAAAGATGCTTAAATTTTTTTCCCATGTTGTACAGGTGCCCATGTGTAAAAGGCAGAAGAAAGGGGTTTTATCCACATTCACCGCTGAAGATGTTGGGACACAGGATAGCTCTGAAGAATTGCGATGGCAATGAATAAATACAACAGGATTTCTTTTGTGTTTTGGGGGGCTAAAGATGATGTTGTGCAATGTAGACAAATCCGGTTATGTGAATTTATGTACAATATTAATTATCGACTGTATAAGTTTTTGGGTTCTTCTTAGGCGTTATGTAAGTTTTTGGGGCTAAAGATGATGTTGTGTTTTGGGGGGCATAATATTATTATGAATTTTTGTTCTCTTTTTTCCCCCATGAAATTTTTACACTCGCCTACATGACTTGACTTCAATGCAATATCCTTTGCTATTTCAGTTTATCATGTGTTTTCCTCACTGAGTGTTGATACGTACAGCTAGAATGAATCAATGGTTTTTATATGTAGCAAGCTCTTAGGTTTCCTCAAAATATATTTTCCCTACTCAAATTCACTGTTATGGGCTCAAACCATCTGTCATACAAGCACGAGTGCACGGTACATGTTAATGTTTGCTATATAAATAGTTCTTTGGCTAAATGTGATTGATATGGTTTTCTGTTAATGCTTTTGTCTCTGTATAGCAGTGATATTTAAGTACTAATGTGTGATTGATAAACTAAATGAGGTCCATAAAAATAATATTCATGTTCCAATTCACATGCATTTGTCAAATTAATTGGAAGAGATAGCAACCAAGAGATATTATCTTTTTACCAGTTTATATCAAAGATTCACATATGAAAGCTATAAATGACATGAGCAATATTATCTTTGTCAAAAGAAATTCTCATTGAATCAAACCAGTTTTAAACAAACCTACACCATTACAGTACACATAACCATCCACTTAAAAATTACATCCATAAACAACTACATCATACACAGTCCTACACTAACATTACACGGTAGCTTTCCTTCAATTGTCATTGCCTTCCAAAACTCGTTTCCCCTTGCGAATAGTTATGCTGAATGAAATCTCCAAGTCATCTTCATTAGTAGATACTTTAGTCAATTCTTTGAACATATGCGACAAATCATCGAACCGATCTTTAGGCTTCGGGACACCACTTGATTCACCTTCAATATGCAACTGATATTCTTTGGCAGGAAAAACATTACTCCACTTGAAATACCTGCAGTCCCGAGTACAACAATGGAACATCTTTCCCATATTTTCAGTATTCTTTTCCACCTCCATCAATTTGACGAAACCCTCGCCACATTTTGGACATGCTCTCTTCTTGGGGCATTCCAACAACGTGTGTCCTGGTTGTCTACAACTATGACAGATTCCTCTATTCTTGCCTGCCATCAAACAAGACTAACGCAACCACAAAATAACCAAATCAGCAGCAAATTGTTCCGAGATACCAAATTGCATTGACAAATAGAAGACCAATTAACATAAGATAAAAGGAACACTTGTACCGATTGTCTAGTTAACCTAACAAACATTACTTAGCATCAACAAATAAGCATATTTATTTCACAGATTATTCTTTGCCCATTTGCTGTGACAAATCCATTTTTATACCCATAAACATATCATCAACAAATAAGCAAACAAAAATGGTAAGATTGACTGCACTAGTCACAAATCCATTTTTACAACTATAAACTTAACATCAACAACTATGCAAACACAAATGGCACGATTTGCACTAATCAAAATCCATTTTTATAACTATCAACTAAATATCAACAAATAACCTAACACAAACAGTACGATTCACTGCACCATTTCATGAATTAAAATTATAAGCATATTTATTCCCAAAAAAAGGTGAAAACATAGAATAACCAGATTTATTCCCCAAAAAAAATGTGAAAACATCGAATACTAGTAAAAACCAGTTGTTGACTAAGCAAATACAAGAATTAAGCAACTAGAATGAACAGGAAAAAGTTGGCTTCCAACAACATATACTAACCTCAATGTCTTTCGATTCTTCACAATAGTATGAAGTCGATGCCAGTTAAGAGAGAGAAGGGCTCACGGTTCTTCAAACTGAAAAAATGGAAGAGAAGGAACTGTGCAAGGAGATTGAACTCTCGAAGAGAAGGGCTTTTGCAAATCTGAGAGAGGAGGAATTGTTTGTGCAAGCAAGATTCAATTTGGGGGAAGGAGTCTTTCTTTTAAAGTTAATTTCTCTCGCGAGATTTTGCTGAGAAATTGACTTAAATAAAATTTTTGACTGGGGAAGATGCCAGCTCAGCAAGTGTAAACAATTATGTAAAGTATTTTGTATGTGTAGACAAATCCGTGAAAATTTATGTATCCTATCCTAACTTCTACTATATTTTTTATTGATTAATAATGATCAAATTCTCCTTTGGACAATAATTTGTTTTATTATTATTACCTTTGGCCCCGTTTGTTTCTCATTTTTGGAAAAAAAAAAAAGAATGAAAAATATAGTCGTTACGGATCCCACACAAGAGATAAAAATTCAAATTTGGTGGCTTGATGTGATGGATAACGATCATATTTTTTATTTTAACAAGAAAAGATTGGAAAATAAACGAGGCTAATAAAAGAAGCTTCCATTTTTGTATTACTTTTTGTTACGAAAAAAGATTGAAACCGACAACTAAACTAGATAAGAGTTGAGACTTGTCTGTCTCGTCTACGAGAAAAAAACAGTTGATCTGTAGAAATTAATCCACACTCTTCCACCTCAATTCAAACCCTAAAATGATAATTTTACATTCCTCCACCTCTAGACCACTCACGAAAAATTCCCCAACTCTCTCCTCTACAGTTAGAAAGAGAAGAAAAAAGAAAGGTAACGGGCAGACGGGCAGCCATGGACTGCTTTTCATAAAAAAATTATCAGCGATGGAGTCTAGCAGAAAAACCCACGTGGTAAAAAGCAAGAAAAATCCACATTGGTGAATATTTATGCAATGGAGAAAGTAGAGGGGGAGTAGCCATTGCCAATTACAAGTCTTGATGCTCAGGGTTCAACTCCAAATTCAGGGAACATAAATAGGAAGTGTTTGAATTGTAGTAGGCTTAAAAAGGTGGTGACTTCTAGATGTGTTTTTGTTTTGGTACTTAGTTTTGCTATTCTTTTATCTTCTTTTTTTTGGCTGCCATTCTTTCACTTTGGAGATAGAAAAGACCTGGATCTGGATTATCAAGGTTGGTGGTTTCTTTTCTAGAAAATTTTTATTTTCAATTTTTGAATTTTTTGCAGGCCTTAGTTATGATAATCATTATTGTTTGGTATTTGCAGATCTATGCATATGTTTCTTTCCTGTTTTTAAATTCTATTTGTGCACTCGGTGTTTAGGTTTTGGATGGGGGCCCAAATATTTGTTGGTATTCGAGATTTTTCATACTTCTTGGGGGGTTGAAATCTAGAATTTTCGCGGTTTGGAAGTTTTCTTAGCAAAATTCTGGATTATATTCTATATGTAGAGTGCATAGCGATGTAAATCAATGAATGCAGTTAGAGGAGGATAAGTGTTTTGCATGCGAGAGTCGAATAAACGTGGTGATGTTTTTAATTGTTCCAGTTGATATGGTGTTGGAAGAAAACAGGTGGCCCATGTGGGTTGACTTGACCCGACCCGATTTGCATGAAAACGATTATTGGAGGGAGGAGTTGAAAATCAAACTTGAAAATTAACCTCCCTTAATCCATAACTTCCCAATATGCATTCACTCAACCAACAACAAGAAAAACTGCACAAGATATTCAAAATTCGGGTTCTTTCAAGGTGTAAAAATTGGATACGGGTGGAGGCTTGATTTTTGGGAAAATTATATCTCTAATTAGGTTCTTGGATTGTGAACAATAAACTTCTTCTTTGGTGGTCGAGTTTTGACCAAGAAACGGGTACAAGGCGGTGTTGGAGGCAAGCAATCAATAGGCAAGTAATTCAACCTCGTTTTTTGGGATTTTCAAGTAAGTTTTACAACTTAAATTCGGTTAAAAGCATGTTTTACATTGGTATCAGAGCCTAAGTAGGTTATTTTCTTGTTTAAATACATGCTTTAAATGTTTTAGAATGAATGAAATGCATGAATTCTCGTTTCCTTTGAAACCTTGAATGTCGTTAATGGCGAATTTTGATATACTTCACATAAATTCATGAAATTTATACTGTATGTTCATGATGTTATGAAGAACATATCTTAAAAATTTCACTTCATTTGGATTTGTATTTTGGGAGAAAAATCAAACCCTAGTTGAGAAAACCGAAATTTCATCACATGATAATTTTTTGCACGTTAAGTTTCATACTACCTATTTTATATGGTTGGATAGATCTTCTCGAAACCTTTCCAACGATATAAAGAACATAAAATTTGGCCTTGAGTTGAGGAAGTTATGGCTCTCCGAAGTTTCACCAGAAATCTGAATTTTTTTTTTAAGGACGATGAACAGTAACCCTAAAAAAAAAACTGAAATTGGAACTGTAGCAGAGGGTGGGAATTCCAAATTCCAATTTTAAAAAGGTTTCATGTTGGTCCCTAAAATATTGTAAGTGCAATTTGGAAAATTGCATGTTGGTTCTCAAACTTTTGAATGTTAAATATTCCAAATGTAATTTGGAAAATTGCATGTTGGTCCCCACACTTTTGAATGTTAAACATATTTGGAAAATTGCATGTTGGTCCCTCAAATCTTACAAAATGCAATTTTTATTCCCAACACTTTTTAATGATGTTTATTCCAATACCAATTTGAAAAGTTGTGTGTTGGTCCCAAAATGATATATATATATATTTTAAATTGATTATTCCAAATTCAATTTAAAAGATTACAAATTGGTCCCTCGAATATTCTTTATTTTTTTATGCAATTAAAATAATTTTCAAATAATCAAAAATATTTATATATACAATATTTTGGGACTTGATTAAATCCTAAAATTAAAAAAGAAAAATCAAGAATATTTTTGTTAAGTGTTGTTAAGTGGTATTTGCCTAGTGGGAGCCTTTTTTTGTGTTCTCATTTTTTTTAAATGAAAAATATTTCGAAAGTATTTGATGTACCACATTTTCTATACATTCATGAGGGGTGGATCTCGATTAGGTTATGCGATCCATTGTGACTGGTTTTTCAATTATTGTGCTTGATCAGATATGGCTGGATCAACACAGGTTTTTAACATCCTTAGAGGAGCAGCTAGTAGAGCATGGGCTGTGGAACGTGTTGAAAAATTACGTGTTTATAGAAACTATGAAATGGATCCGCGACATAACCTATTACAATGCATAAAATATCTCAAAGCGATGTGTCGAGAAGTGATACATTTGAGACATCATATATGTGAGGTGGAAAGTATGTATCATCTAATGAGGACGCTTCCTAAATATTGACATGATGTTACTATTGAAGTTTTGGATAATTCACCACCTCTATGCTATAGTTATTTGGTCAAGATCTTGAAGAGAAAATAAAATTCAGAAAATGAGAATTTTGTGATTAATTTAGATATGTATGGTTGGTTCAAAATCATCGAAAAATGTGAAATTTTATTTCTCATGTTTAGTTGTTGTTTAAAGATGTTTAATATGATTGAATGTACACATTTGACATTTTGATATTAATGTATATGTTTCATTTATGTTAGATTTATTCAAAATGTCTTACTAATTTTGTACATGATTAATCTTTTACTTTAGTGGGAGTTCTAAGGGTGAAAGAGTTTAAGTTATTCTGACTTAGAACTTGTAATTTTACGCTATGAAATTAATTTTGTGATAATGTAACATTAGGATAATGGATGATGATTGGGAACTTAGTGAACTTTCGACTCCGTGTCTAATGTAAAATTATCATAAAACTTAATTTGCATGAGCGCAAAATGATGTGTGCATAAATGGACATTTATATGATTGTCTCTAATATTTTAACAGACCATGGCATCTAAGAATATCATAGCTGACCTAAATAAAGGTGACAAATTGAATGGCAATAACTATAACACTTGGCGCCATAAAATTTGGTATGTGCTGGAGGAACAGGATTGCCTTGAGGGCATTAACCACGTGATGGAAGACCCAGGGGTGGGTCAAACTGCTCAACAAAGAAGGGATTAGGAAACTTACTAGACATGAAAAAAGAAAAATTCCACTGCTCGTGCAATTTTGGTAAGTTCCGTGGTGGATGATCTCATACATGAGTGTGAGCAGTTACCAACTGCTCATGACATCTGAACATATTTGAGAGAGAAATACGGTGGTACTAGTGTGATTAGACTGAGGCAGTTGCCTATTAAATTTGACACTTACAAGAAACTTCCTAATCACAATATCACACAACATGTGAGGATCATGTCAATTATGATTAGGGAATTGAAATTAGCTGGTCATATACTCTCTAATGAGCAACAAGTTCATGCTTTGATTTGCTCTCTTCCTGATAATTGGGAATATTTGAAAGTCAATTTGACTCATAATGATAGTATCAAAACATTTGCTGATGATGCCCGCCATGTGGAACTAGAAGATGAGCGCCTTGGTGCAGCTAAATATCTAGGACAAGCTTTTGTAGCTGAATCTAGTTCTGGGAAAGCTTCAGGCTTTAAGCGTAAAAAGAACTGGTTCAAAGGCGGGAAAGGGAAGGGAAAAGAAATTGGATAGGGACCTAAAAAGAACAAACATAAGCGCAATAATAAAGGTAAATGGTTTGGAAAGAAGAAAGATAAGAGCAAGTTGAAATGCTTCAAATGTCAGGTGCTGGGTCACTTTACTTGGGAATGCCCTGAGTCAAAGAAGGTAACTTTTATAAATACTTCTTTTAGTGCTGTTTATGTTTCAAGCACTATTATGCTAACTGAATCTTATCCTATGTGGATTGCAGAGTCAGGAGCGACAGACCATGTAACCAGGGATCAAGAAGCGTTTGTGGAGTTCCGTCGAATTCCAACTGGTACAAAGTGGATATATGTCGACAACGATGATAGAGTGGAGGTGAAAGGGATCGGTACATGCAAGTTACATTTGCGCAGTGGCCGTACTATTCTCCTTCACGATGTCCTATTTGCACCAGGGATACGAAGGAACTTAATTTTCGTTGTTGTTCTTTTAAGGTTAGGTTTCAGTTTGAACTTTTGTGGTAATTGTGTTCGTATAAAAAATTGTGATGTATTTTATGGATCTGGACATGTAGAGGAGGCTTTGTAGTGTTGGATTGTGATTCAAACACTTATAATTATTATGTTGATCGTTGTTTTTCTATCAATGTATCTTCTTCTTCTTCTTCTAAAGATTTGAATGTTGATACATCTGTATGACATGCTAGATTAGGACATATTGGACAAGAGAGAATGAATAGGTAGGCAAAAGAAGGCTTGCTAGGTTCAATCTCGAAGATTTCGTTACCTACTTGTGAACATTGCATAATCGAAAAAACAATACGAAAACCATTCGGTAAAGCTTTAAGAGCTGAACTTCCATTGCAGTTAGTTTATTCAGATATATGTGGCCCGATGAATGTGAGGGTAAGACATGGAGCCTCTTATTTCATTACTTTTATAGATGATTTTACACGGTATTGTTATGTCTATTTGATTTCTCATAAGTCAGAGGCATTGTAATACTTTAGACGATATTTAAATGTGGTAGAAAATCAAATAGATCGAAAGGTAAAAGCCTTGAGAACTGACCGAGGGCATGAATATCTATCCAAAGAGTTCAGAAACCTATGTGATGATAAGGGAATCATTAGGCAATTAACTATTCCCAATTCATCTCAACAAAATGGTGTTGCTGAGAGGAGGAATAAAACGTTGCTAGAAATGGTGAGGTTCATGATGGCGCATGCTAACTTACCTATTTCCTATTGGGGAGACGCTTTGTTAACTGCGACCTACATTCTGAATAGAGTTCCTTCTAAATCAATACCTACTACACCATATCAGCTTTGGATAGGTAGATCCCCTGATTTAAGTTCTCTTAGATACTTGGGATTAGCTGCCTATATCCATGATTCATCAAATAAGTTTGGAAAATTGGGTGCTCGAGGTAAGAAGTGTATTTTTATAAGATACTCAGACCAGTCTAAAGGATATGTGTTCATAGGTGAAAATCAAGATGAGACTATAACTGAAATAAAGTCACGCGATGTGACATTTCTTGAGAGTGATTTTCCTAGTAGGGGAGAAATTAAAAAGGGAGAACCTTTATATGAATTAGATGATAGAGTTGTACTTGATGGATCAACTGAGGTGCAAGAGGAAACACGTCCACCTGTCGATCCAAGTGGGAGTAATTATCTCCAACTCCAAGTGACAGGGTCACATCGGAGCTTTCACTTCGTAAGAGTACTAGAAAAAGTATGCCTAAACGTCATTTCGAGATTGAAGGACAAGTTTTCCTAGTATTTCCTGAAGATAGTGAAGAACCAAGTTCAGTACAAGAAGCTCTATCATGTTCTGCAAAGAAAAAATGGAAGAATGAAATGGAAGAAGAGATGGAGTCTATGAAATCAAATCAGGTCTGGGACTTGGTTGATCTTCCATCTAGTCAAAAAGCCATTGGGAACAAATGAGTTCTCAAAATAAAGTGAAGAGCTGAAGGGACTATAGAGACCATAAGGCTCGCTTGGTTGCAAAAGGTTATACTCAATAGGAAGGTATAGATTATGAAGAGACTTTTTCGCCAGTAGTGAGATTTACTTCAATTCACCTACTCTTAGCTATCGTGGCACGTTTAGATTTAGAATTACATCAAATGGACGTGAAAACTGCATTTCTCAATGGAGAATTAGATGAAGAAATCTACATGCAACAACCAGTAGGTTTCATTAAAACAAGTTACGAGAATAAAGTTTGTAAATTGAATAGATCAATCTATGGCCTAAAGCAGTCTTCTAGATAGTGGTACTTGAGATTTGACAGAGCGATTATCTCGTACAACTTTGTTATTATGGATGAAGATCACTGTATTTATTTGAAAAGGTCTAACGAGAAATTTTTAATTTTATCTCTTTACGTAGATGATATCTTGTTGGTTGGAAATGATAAGGAGTCTATTAAAACCATTAAGAAATGGTTGTCCTCAAATTTTGAAATGAAGGACATGGGTGAAGCAGATTACATATTAGAATAAAGATCGTTCAAAGAGGCTTCTTGCTCTGTTACAAGAGCCATATATAAAGAAAATTCTTGAATGTTTCAAAATGGGAAATTGCAATCCCATTGACTCTCCTGTATCAAAAGGCGAAACTCTAAGTCTTCACATATATCCTAAAACTCTCGAGGAAAAAGAAGAAATGACTAGAGCTCTATATTCCAGTATGGTTGGGAGCTTGATGTATGCTATGATGTGTACTCGTCTTGACATTTGTTATGTCGTAGGTCTGGTCAGCAGGTATCAATCTAATCCTAGAAGAGAACATTGGAAAGCTGTTAAAAGGATATTGAGATACTTGAAGGGTACTGCTAATTACTCACTATGCTATCAAGGAAATGGTTTGTGCTTAAAATAATACACAGATGCTGATTGGGGTGGAGACATAGATGAGCGCAAATTAACTTCAGGATATGTATTCTTGCTTAATAATGGAGCTATCTCTTAGAGTAGCAAGAAATAGACATGTATTTTCTTGTCTACAATGGAAGCAGAATTCATAGTATGTGCTTCGACAGTACAAGAAGATGTTTGGTTAAGGAGATTCTTACAGCATTTAAGAGTCGTTAGTGGTGATGTAGGACCCATATTGATCTACTGTGATAGTCAGGTTGCTATTGCATATACTAAGGATCCCAAGTATCACAGTAGAACTAAACACATTGATACAAAATATAATTTTGTAAGAGACATCATAGGCAAGAAGGAAGTAAGTTTACAGTAATTTCTATGCACCAAATGGTAGCTGATCCACTTACAAAACCCATCCCTAGAGATATTTTTATGACAGATGTTAAATCTCTAGGATTGCGTAGAATTTGAATTGTACACTATGTAAACCTTTTCATATATGTCCAATAATGAACAATGTTTTGAGTTCACATGTTAAGAGTAATCTTTTATTGTGATTTTTAGATTACAATTGCATATGCACACATAAAGTATGTCAAACAGGTTGAGATTGGTTCACTCACACGAACAATCGCCTTAGACACTTTGAGGTGTCCTGAGATGAGACACAGTGATCATATTGTGTACATGATCCAGTCTCCTTGATGAGATATCAAGATGAGATTACAACAAGTAATCGGTATGGATTTATTTTTTTGCTATCCATTAGACCTATTTTTACAGTCAGATCGAGTTCTCGATTTGAGATTACCTAAAGGAATAAATAAGAGGAGAACTCAGGTTAGATATTGAGGAATATCTGAACCATGATCTGTATGATATATTTGATTTGCGAGATTTTACATAAGCCCTAAGAAAGGGAGAAAACATCACAACACGTGTTTCATACCACGTGTGCTTTAACGACTAATGAGAAATGAAAGAATTGATCCCTGCTTCTTCATTGTGTGAGTCTCTGAGGCATATTTGACCTCACTTATATATATTTTTATGACTTTTGACTGTTTCTCATAATTTTATTTTAGTTTTGTTACTTTAACATGTTGCCAATAACTATGGTTGATTCGGTTTGATGGGATATGTCTAGGAAAGCAACTAATTTGAAATGAAGGGATTCAAGTAGGAAAGGAAGATTATTTAACTAACACATTAGCTTGTATTCACCGACCTGACAATTGTGTTGATTATTTGAGTTTTGTGATACAATTGTGAATACAATATAAATGAGAAAGTTGAGTATGTTCTAAAATAAATTGAGGGATCAGAAATACTTGAACTGGTGTTACAAAGTATGTTTGGGGTATAGCGAGAAATATAATTCCTCTTTTAGAGCTACTATATATCCCTAACAGGTGTATAGTGTTGTGTGCTCTTAAATTAACTCACTGGTCGCACGATCCATTTACCTGTATAAACTTGGAGATGTAGAGATTAATATAATTGATATTATATTAGAATCAGGTCAAGCCCATCATGTGCGAGTGGAAGATGTTGGAAGAAAATGGGTCATCCATGTGGGTTGACCCGACCCGACCCCCCGTCCCGACTCGGCTTGCATGGAAATGATTATTGGAAGTAGGAGTTGAAAATCAAACTTGAAAATTAACGTCTCTTAATCCATAACTTCTCAATATGCATCCACTGAAGCAACAACAAGAAAAACTACACAAGATATTCAAAATTCGGGTTCTTTCAATATGTAAAAATCGGATGGGGGTGGAGACTTGATTTTTGGGAAAATTACATCTCTAAATAGGTTCTTGGATTGTGAACAAAAAACTTCTTCCTTGGTGATCGAGCTTTGACCAAGAAGTGGGTACAAGGCGGTGTTGGAGGCAAGCAATCAATAGGCAAGTAATTTAACCTCGTTTTTGGGATTTTCAAGTAAGTTTCACAACTTAAATTCGGTTAAAAGCATGAAAGCATGTTTTACTTATGGTTTATCTTCTTCCATACTGACAAGCTAAGTTATTGAGTTGGTGATTTATTTGATGTCGCAAGGTTGGCAGGAATTTAAGAGTTACTAATAACCAATCACTACAATATAACTAATGTCCTATAAAGGAAAATGTGGTACAAGATTGAACTACGTATCTTGAGGAGATGTAAATGCTATATTTGGATAAAAAAGTTTGCCATATTTTTCTCCAAACATTTGATCCCAAGATTTGATGTCGATCCTTCCTCTTTGATGGTCCTATATGACTAGTCAGAATTCATGTTTAGGCTATTTTAGTAGAACATTTAGTTATCATTCATGTTTTCTTCTTGTATTGCTAGGTCTTGTAATTTTTTTTATTGATATTCTCCACGTCATAACATAGTAGCAAGTTTTATGCTTAAGCAGCCCATTTCTTCTCTTAAAGACTATATACCACAACTTCAGGACAACATTTTTGATGAAATGAGCTTCTCCATGACTAAAGTACTACCTGTGCTCTCATATCACCATTTAACTTTATTATTATTATTTTTTGGTTTCTATATTGATCATTTTCTTATTTGTCCTCGAATGTTAGTGATGTCAACTTTTTTTGTTAGGTGAAAACATTATCTTTAAAATCGTTAGATGGATAAAACATAACAAAGGTTGTGTTTGCAGTTGATTCTGATGTGACTACACAGTTTAATCAGAGACTCCTTTGTATCTTTAGTTACACGCCAATCATTTTTTCATTTGAGTACATTTTTTGGGGATCCTTTTTCTTTCGAGGTGCTAAAATTCAAAGGAGGAATTACTGTTAGTCCTGAACAGAAGGCATTTCTTATGCAAAAAGTTCAAATCCTTTTCAACTATACCTTGAACTTCTCCATTGATCAAATACTAAATAAATTCGAAGAACTTACGAGCCAACTGAAATCGGGCTTACATCTTGCTCCGTACGAGGTCTGGTTCTATTATTTCTTTTTCTCTTTATTTGTTAGGAAAATTTGCATAATTGGTCCACAGCGAATTGCCTTAGTAGCGAGTTGATCTCTACTCTCTAGCCTTTAAAAAGGAACTGGTGATAACTCAACATCTCATTGTAGTTACACTTGAATTATGTTCTTGCTTCTTTTCTGGAATGCAGAATTTGTACATTACCTTGACAAATCATAAAGGTTCAACAGTGGCCCTACCCATGATAGTTGAGGCACGAGTTTTCTTAGCAGTGGGTATTAATCCTTCGAAGTCAAGGTTGAAGCAGTTGGCTCAGACCATCACTGGTTCTCGTTCTAAAAATCTTGGCCTAAATAACACTGTATTTGGTCGAGTTAAGCAAGTTCATCTTTCATCTGTAAATGTTGGCAGTGATGGAAGTGGTACCTCACCCTCTACATCTACATCTACATCTACATCTCCGACTCCTACTCTTTTGTCAGAATCTCCACACTACCATCGTCCCCATCACCATCAAAACCACCATGATGCCAGCATTGCTCCTGGGATTTCACCAACACTGGCAATGGGATTAAGTGGATTTAAAATTGGTAAAGTCTCCCCAGCGTCTACACCAGCGCCGATGAATAGTCGAGTAGCAGAGCCTCCCAGTTGTCATAATAGTTACTGATATGCCTTATTATTCGTCCATACCCGAGCATTATCCTCGATGACTGGAAATACCTCCCTCTCCATATTGCAGCTTGATGTCCTCGAGCATTGTCCTCGATGACACATGCTAGAGGATGCGCAATTGTGTGACGACGATGTTGTAAGCCTGAGGTCCTTAGGATATAATGTCCTCGGGAATTCCTCTCCTTAAGCTGCTTGCGTTATGTTGATCTAATAGGATTCTTATCTACTTGGAACTCTAACTCTAGACTACTATTTCGATACTTGACCCTAATAAGGACTCTGTCTTAAGCATAATTTTGGTATTTGTCTAATTCCTTAACCGTAAGGACTCCAACGGATAAGGATACCCAGCTAGTTGAGTCCTACTAGGAGAATACCACCTACCTCTACAAATACAATAGATGGGGACATTGTTCAGGTACGTTCTCATTATTTTTTAGTTTATAGCCTCACGTACATATTTTCCTTTCTGACTTAAGCATCGAAGGGACGGCAAGAACACACCTCGTTGCCTTTGTTTCAAGTACCGGAAGGCCACGATCATGCTCATTCAGAGTCCTCAAACTCGTCTGTGGAAAACGCTATCAAAAGCCATGGTTAACACACGATCAGGTCTTCTTCCAATAAGCTCATCCGTTCCCAATCCTAATCTTCCTGAAGACCAACCGGCTCCTCAAGAAGAGTCATCAGAAATACCTGCGCCCCAGCCAGCAGTTGTCACGGATGGAGCCTTTGAAGAGCTCCATCAATAGGTGGCCACGTTAACTCAGCTACTAAGTCAAAGAAATTCGCGTCCGTCACCAGTACCGACAGAACATGATGGATTTATGAATGATGCTCGAGCTAGAGCACCCAATCCCACAACTGGTGATGAAGTAGGAACCTCGGGTGTACGTAATGTGGCCTCTGGCTCGAGATCGGTGACTATGGATTTGGTGAGATTACTCGGATTATTCAAGAAGGAATTACAGCTGGCCTACTTCAGAATGCTCGGGGGCCAACGGGTTTTACCCCGAACACTCCATTTACGCCGGAGATATTGTCATATCCCTTGCCTGACAGATTCAAGTATCCTCGTATTAAAGAATATGATGGGATGACTGACCCGATCAATCATCTTACCGATGTGATGAATTTACAGGTTGCACCGGATCAGATGATGTGCAAGGCCTTTCCACAAACACTAACTAATGCCGCTAGGGATTGGTTCTCAACATTAGAGCCCAATTCCATTGCCTCATTTTCAAACTTGGTCGATAAGTTCTCTGCCTTTTTTGGAAGTAGCAAGCGTATCAGGAAGACCGCGGCCTCTCTCATGCAACTGCGCCAAGGATCGAATGAAACCCTACGAGGTTTTATGACAAGATTTAACAAGAAAAGACTTCAAATACCTGGCCTTCACATTACAGCAGCAGTTTCTGCCCTCACCTATGCCATAAGGTGTGATGCCTTCAAAATGTCTTTATCAAAGACCCCACCACAGATAGTGATCGAGCTCTTTAACCGAGCTGAAAAGTACATTAATATGGAAGAAACGTTGAATCCAAGGAGAGCTGGTCATTCTCATAAAAAGGTCGAAAATAAGAGGCAACATGATCCTGTCCCCCGGCATGAGCTTTCTCGGGATAAGCGCAGGAATGAGGCGTTGTCAGCACCTCTCACTCGATTGAACACCTCTAAGACAAACATCTTGATGGAGATTAAGGATATGAAAGAATTGAAGTGGCCTTCAAGGATAAAGTCGCCCCCTGACAAAAGAGATAGGAGTAAGTATTGCGAATTTCACCGGGATCATGGGCATACCATAGAGGATTGTCATGCTTTACAGCGAGAAATTGAAGCCCTTATCAAAAGAAGTTTTTTAAAGAATTACGTCGGTCAAGATAAATGCCCAAGGAATGATCGTGACAGGCGGAATGACCCAGGGATGGGAAGCAATGTTCAACCCACCGCTGGGATAATTAATATAATCATTGGAGGCATAGCATCTGAGGAAGACACTAATAATGGGAGGAAGCAATATGCCCGACAGTATGCTCATACTCTGAATGGATTCCACGATAAACACGAGGACATAACTTTTGGAGCAAAGGATTTGGAAGGGGTGTCATGTCCTCATGATGATGCCTTGGTTATCTCGGCTATCGTGGCCAACTTTGAAGTAAAGAGAATTTTGATAGACAACGGAAGTGCAGCAAACATACTCTCTCAGGGAGCTTTCGCAAAGATGGGGATATTCCCCAGTCAACTCAAGGCAGTAACAACTCCGCTTCAAGGTTTTGGAGGTGGTATCATTGTCCCAGAAGGCATTGTTGACCTTCCACTTACTATGGGTTCTAACAAAGCACAGGTGACGGAGATAACGCCTTTCCAAGTGGTTAGCACTCATATGGCCTACAACATTATCCTAGAAAGGCCCCTACTAAATAAGATTCAGGCCATTGTTTCCACTTTTCACCTCGCCATGAAGTTTCCAACGAGTCATGGCATTGGAGTAGTTCGAGGAGATCAAACAGCTGCAAGATAGTGCTATGTCACTAGCATCCAAGGAATAAGTACCGACGTTGCAACTATCTGACCTCGAGCTCGAGCCCAGGGGTAGGCTCGCCCCGGTTGAAGAATTGGAGGTGGTCGAGCTCGAGCACGGGAAAACGGTGACTACTGGTCGGGATCTCAACGCCAGCCTCAGGGAAGAAGTCATCAGTTGTCTATCCCGCAACATTGATATTTTTGCATGGAAGGTCGAGGATATGCCAGGGATAGACCCTGAGGTCGCAGTCTATAGACTCAACATAAGTCCAAGGGCCAGACCAGTTAAGCAAAGGAAGAGACAGTTTGCGCCGGAAAGGCGAGAGGTTATTCAGGAAGAGGTTTGCAAACTTGTAAGAGCAGGATTCATAAGGGAAGTCCAATACCCTGATTGGCTAGCTAATATTGTTCTTGTGAAGAAAGCTAATGGTAAATGGAGAGTCTGCATTGATTTCACAGATCTCAACAAGACATGCCCTAAGGACAGCTACCCGCTCCCCAGGATAGACAATCTTGTGGATCACACATCCGGACATAAGTTGTATAGCTTTCTAGATGCATTATCAGGGTATCACCAGATTTTTATGGCTAAGGAGGACCAGGAGAAGACTTCTTTCATGGCTGATTCTGCCATATATTGCTATAGGGTTATGCCGTTTGGGTTGAAGAACGCTGGGGCAACATATGAGAGACTGATCAACAAAATCTTTGCTAATTTGATAGGAAAGAATATTGAGGCCTATATTGATGACATGATGGTAAAGAGCAAGAAGGTAGAAAGACATGTATCTGATCTTGAGGAAGTGTTCGCCATCATACGAAAATATAAGATGAAGCTCAACCCAGAGAAGTGTGTATTCGGCGTAGCTTCGAGAAAGTTTCTGGGTTTTATGATCACTCATCGGGGGATTAAGGCCAACCCTGATAAGATTAAGGCTTTGGTAACAATGGAATCACCAAGGACCAAGAAAGAAGTTCAAAAGTTGATAGGCAGGGTAGCCACCTTAAACAGGTTCATGTCCCGAACAGCAAATAGGTGCTTCCCCTTCTTCAAAGCCCTTAGGGGTAATCATTGCTTTGAATGAAATGAGGAGTGCGAGAAGGCTTTTCAGGAGCTCAAGCAGACATTGAAATCTCCTCCTATCCTCACCAAACCCGAGCCTGGGGATAATTTGTATTTGTACTTAGCCGTGTCTCAGAGTGCAGTGAGTGGTGTCTTGGTGAAAGAGGTTACCACAGCCCAACAACCCATTTATTACGTAAGCAAAGTCCTACTTGATGCAGAAACAAGATAAATTTTGGCAGAACAGCTTGCCCTTGCACTGATAGTGGTAGCATGAAAGCCTTGGCAATATTTTCAGTCACATCCTATTGTAGTGCTCACCAATCAGCCTCTAAAACACATTCTTCAGAAACTAGACGTCTCAGGAAGATTACTGAAGTGGGCAATTGAACTCGGAGAATTTGAGATAGAGTTCAAGCCCCGTCCATTTATCAAAGCTCAGGCCTTAGCTAACTTCATTGCAGAACTCACCCTAAGGCCTCGAGGGCCAGATGGTAGCTCGAGCTCTTCCACATGCGTGTGACAAATTTTGTAGATAGAGCATCAAACTCCTCGGGCTAGGGTGCAAGGGTCATAATCATAAGCCCGGACATGCTCATAGACATTCAGTGTGCACTCAGGTTCGAATTTGAGGCAACCAATAATGAAACAGAGTATGAGACCGTCATCATAGCCATGGAACTTGCCATCAATCTCGAGCTTGAAAACATCAAAATTTACAGTGATTCCCAGTTGGTGGTTGGACAAATTCAAGAGACGTTCGATAGGAAGGACGAGAAGATAAGCTTATACTGCTTGAAAGTGCATGATCTCCAGAGAAAGTTTAAGAGTTGTGAAATTGTGAAAATTACTCGGGCTGAGAATTGTAAAGCCGATGCCTTGTTAAGATTGGTGTTCATGGGGATAAATGGGCTTGATAGGATAGTTCACGTTAGAATTGTGACCGAGCCAAGCATCAATCAGACCGTAGGCGTCATAGATATTGATAATGAGCCATCGTGGGTGGATCCAATAGTGGACTTCATAAAACATGGCAATCTTTCAGAAGATTCTTGAGCAGCAAAAAGCATCCGGTCCAAAGCTCCAAGGTATTGCATGATTGAAGGAGTTTTATTTCGCAGAAGCCTCACACTTCCATACCTCAGATTTTTTAAGCCTTCCGAATCATCCAGGGCCCTAGAAGAAGTTCATGAAGGAATATGTAGGAACCATCAAAGAGCTCGGGCATTAGCCTTTAAGCTCATAAGGTATGGATATTATTGGCCTACCATGAAGAAAGATGCCCGGAAATATGTCAAGAAGTGTGACAAGTGCCAGAGATTCAACAATATCATCCACTCTCTCGTAGAGGATCTCACTAGTATTAGTTGCACGGCCCCGTTTGAGCAATGGGGAATTGACATCCTCGGTCCCTTTCCAATAACTAGGGAGCAATTGAAGTTTGTGGCTGTGGCTGTAGAGTATTTCACTATGTGGGTGGAGGCCGAGCCTTTAGCAACAATTTTAGAGCCAGAACTTTCATTTGGAGGTCCATCATATGCAGGTTCGGGATACCGAAAGTCCTTATAACTGAAAATGGCAGGCAGTTTGACAATGCACAATTTAAAAACTTCTGTTCCAACCTAGGGGTTGATCTCTGTTTGACATCGGTTTTCCATCCTTAAAGTAATGGTCTTTCCAAAGTGACCAATCGGATTATATTGCAAGACCTCCGTACAAGGATCGGAGATGCAAGAGGTTCCTAGTCTAACGAGTTACCTTCCATATTTTGGACATATAGAATGTCCCACAGAACCGCTACGGGGGAAACTCCCTTCATGTTAGCTTTCGGAATTGAGGCCACCATCCTTGTTGAAGTCAGGTTGCCCAGCCAAAGAAGACTTGAGCTCGAAGATGCAGGACGCATCACTGAATACCTCGACCTCTTGGAAGAAATTCGTGATCAGACAGCTTTAAAAATGACCTCTTACGAAGATAAAATAGCAAAGTATTTCGATAAAAAAGTGAGGACACAGAGATTTAGAGCCGTAGACCTTGTGTTAAGAAAGATCGAAGCAGCAGGTCATGCCCCGGGCAAGCTAGGACCAGTTTGGGAAGGGCCTTTTGAAGTCATACGATAGCTTCAAGGAGGTACATACAGTTTAAGGGATACATTAGGAAGGCCATTTCCAAGACCATGGAACGTCGAGAATTTAAAAATATATTAAAAGTAACTTGTTCTTCTAGTTTTCAGTAGTCAAGCCTGCGTGTCAAGGTTCACGTTTTCAGTTCTCAGGCCTGCATGCCAAGTTTTATTTTTCGGTAGTCAGGCCTGCGTGCCAAGGTTCACGTTTTTAGTTGTCAGGCTTGCGTGCCAAGTCTATTTTTAAAGTATAATAAGAATTAAGCTATTCATCAAAATGTGATTTCGCTACTAAAAGCGTTGCCCCGAGCAAGCACTTTAAAAACTTGCCTCGCGCAAGCAACTCAAAAGCCTTGCCCGACGCAAGCACCTTAAAAGCCTTGTCCTGAGCAAGCACTTCAAAAGCCTTGCCCCGCGCAAGCAACTCAAAAGCATTGCCCTGCACAAGCACCGCAAAAGTCTTGCCCCACGCAAGCAACTCAAAAGCCTTGCCCCGAGTAAGCACTTTAAAAGCCTTACCCTGAGCAAGCACCTCAAAAGCCTTGCCCCGCGCAAGCACCTCAAAAGCCTTGTCCCGCGCAAGCACCTTCAAGGTCTTTTCCCAAGCAATAATGGAATAATGTTTATGCTCGAGTTCATCACATTATTACCAAAATGATTTTATAAAATTGAGTCCTCGAGATATATTTGAATATGCTCGAGCTCAACGCATTATTACCAAAATGATTTTGTAAAATTGAGTCCTCGAGATATATCTATGTATGCTCGAGCTCATCACATTATTACCAAAATGATTTTGTAAAATTAAGTCCTCAAGATATATCTGTGTATGCTCAAGCTCATCACATTATCAAAATGATTTTATAAAATTGAGCAACGAGATAAACATGTATAAGCTCGAGCTCAATGCATTATTACGAAAATGATTTTGTGAAGTTCAGTCCTCGAGATAATCCTGTTGGTCGAGAGCATAACAAAATAATGATGTGACAAAAGATTGAGCATTCATTTCAAAAACTTAACAAAAAGAGTCGAAGTCATGTTCGGGCAATTGCCATTACATTTACACCAAAATCAAAAAAACGTTGGGGGTTTAGGAGTCGGGATTTCCAAATCCTAGTCCTCGTCTCCGAGAGCAGGGCCTTCAACCTCGAAGGCATCATCATTGTCCTCGACAGCACCTTCCACATTCTCTCCCAAATCCGAAAGCTCGAGACTCTCAACAACCTGAGAGATCGTCTTGAGCTCCTCAGGATCAACCTTGGGCATCTCAGCCCTCAGAAAAGCTCGAGCTTTCTTCAAAGCAGAAGGTACGAGCCTAAAGCGTACTCGCCCTTCAACCTATCCATTTCCTCGGACTTTTTAACGTCCTCGATGGCGGATACTCGAGCCCCCTCAATCTTGGATTCCATGTCCCTCTTCAGCTGCTCAAGCTCCAGCTTCAGCTTTTCGACCTCATCCTTAGCAATACCAATCTCATCCTGAGCCTTTCTTAACTCGAGACTAGCATCATCTCTCTCCTTCAGAACTTGAGCTCGTGCAACCTCAGCATCAGATAGCTTTTTATCTCGAAGCTCAACAGCCTCGACCAGTCTAGCCATCTTGTGGGATTCGTCCATCCCTTGCCGTGACAACCCTCGAGCAACGCTGAGTGTCTAAAATCATAACATACAGAGCATAAGAACAGGAAAAATACATGGAAAATTCACATAAGGATATAAAGTCTTACCTTTAAAGTAAGGAGCTCGCGAGCTTTCATTCCCTCGTTGAACCCAACGTCACCTCGATATTTCGCTACGATGCACGGGACAAGATAGCATTGCTTAAAATCCTCGATGATCGAGGCCACCGGAGGAATGGAGTCATCCTCAAGATCAACAACCTCAGGAGTAACTCGAGGAGAAAGTGACCTCGGTGGCCTAGATAACGGTCGGGGTAAGTCCCCCTGTCGTGGTTGTGAAATGGGCCTTGGAGGTCGAGGCCTTGATGTTGACGATTCACCAGGACCCCGGGGAGGCACTTCTGTTGTATATACTCGGGCCTTTTCTTCCCCTTTTTTTGACCAGGAGCCCTGACCTGAGGCGCCCATTAGATGTGAGGCCCTAGGCCATTGCCTAATTGGCCTTGCTTGAAAGTAAGCTTCTTTGTTCTCTGAGATTGGTTTATACAGTGGTTTCTGTGGCTTAAGAGCAACTTCTCGCAGAAGTTCATATTATTGAGAAAAGTGACTTTTAAGTTTAGTCAAACATGCTAACATTTGTTGACTTTGACATTACGTGGACCACACCCTCTCCCGACTCTCAGGACCTTGCTATTTGAACACGGCCACGTAGACCATGTTTAAATAGGGGCACTGGGGGCCGCTTGGCCCTTGAAACAACATGGCCTACATGGATTTGTTCAAGTAGTATAATACCGACAGTATTGATTTGAAGGAAAATAGGGTTAAAGTCAAGCATGCTCACATTTGTTGACTCTGATATCATATGGGCCCCGCTCTCTCTCGATTGTATTGATTTAAAGGACATTAGGAGTTGACCAATTTTGTTTCCATCTCGACTTTAAATTTCGAAAAGGCGATCCATATTAAGGATGTTTTAGACAGTGCCACGGTAGCTAATTCTTTCTCAAGCTTTAAAAAAAAAAAAAAAAAAAATTAGACTTAAAAGCACGAAAAAAAAGTAAGGTTCTTGGCTTGTAGATCGATCATTATTATTTGTGAATCAGCTCGGACTGAATGGGGGCTAGACACTCTCGAGCGTATCGGCATAGGTTACAAGCTCTTTTTGATACCATTTGTGTAAATTTGATCTTCCAACTTATATTTTGTTCAATTTAATAATTATATTTGTAATCTTTGGAAAAAATTATGATTCATCCACATAATTGGCAAAAAAATTCCACTACTGTATCGAAACAAAAAATGTGAGATCTATTTAACACTCAAATAAATAGTATTGCCAATGTTGATCATACAATAGAGTCAAAACTTAAGTCAGATGATCAACATGAAACAAATTGGCAAGTTCAGTGACGTCCCGGAAATTTCCCCATGTAGTCTCAAGACTAACGAATCATCATCTATAAATAGAAAACAGTTGAGCATTGAGCGAAAACAATGGAGGGCGGATTTTTTAAATGGGCTTGATAACTTGTAATATGGATCATTCTTCTTTGAAATACACCCAATGATTGAGGTGCAATCATGCATTGTTTCCTTCTCTTGATTATGTTAATTTCTGATTTTTCCTTCATTACATTGTGAAATATTATTCTTTTAACAGTGTGTGTGTGTTTGTGTGTGTATTTAAAAGTTTTTTGTTCAGTGAATTCTGGATGGGCTTCAAGCCAAATTTTAATATGGATAATTCTTCTTTGATTATACACGATGATAGAGGATCCAATCTTGCAATGTCTCCTATTTCAATCAATTAGCAATTTTGTATGTTAGAATTTTGAATCTCCTCTCTTCACATGCTCAAATCTGCAAGGGTAGGGGTGGACAATCACGGGTGGTTTGTATGAAATTAAAGAAATCAATTAAATTTCAATGGGTTAATGTAGTGATTTAAATTCAGAGAAATGGACATATTCTTGTTTTATTAAATTATGGAAGATGAAACTCTAAATTTCATTGAATTGAGAGCAACTGGACATAATATTGTTGTTTTGTCTTGTTTGCAGTTTATTGTGGTGATTTTAAGCGGAGGAGCGAGGGACTAAGAGGATGGTATGTTCCTTTTCAATCTTATGTTTCAAGCAATTATTCATAAAAGTTCTGAACTTTTAATGATCCATGAACCATCCAATTATGTGGGATCTAAATCATCTGACAATTTTTTATGAATTTTCGATGTTTGATAGGTGGTCGGAGATTAGCACCATTGTTTTTATTGTTGATATTTGCAGCCTTTTTAGGCAAATCTCGAGTAAGAATAAATTGGTTGGTTTTCTTTACTTACACTTCTTTTTCTATGTTTTGATCAAATTAATGCCATTCCCCTCCCCTTTCTATCTCATCTTTCGTTGCTTAAAACTTATTATCTAAGTAAACCCTATGGAACAAACCTTTAGATAAGACTTGCTACTTGAATGCAGACTCGTGTTTCATCATGTAAAATGTAATATCATGAAATGCATCCATTAGTTGAGATGAAGGAAGAAATGACGTTTGTATAAACTGAAGCCGCGTTGACCTCAATACACCACTATCAGTTAAGAAAGTTTCGAATTTCAAAGTCGTTAATGACTGGGAATTCAAGCAAGAAAAATAAATTTTAATTTATTTTAGATCAAGTTAATTACAATGTAGCCTTGGATTATCATTACATATTGATTCACGTAAATGAATGTCCAAACTCGAGACAGAGTCTTAACATTTTAGGATTCTGGAGGAACAATATGGTGTTTGTGAGCAGCTTTTCTTATCTTTTTGTTCAGATGATTTCTTGTTGTTTGGTGTTGAGTTGAAGAATTCTGAGTATTCTATTATTGATGCAGATACATGATGTCTAATCTCCCAGGGAAGACTAACCCTCTAGGGATCCTTTGAAAAGCCGCCCTTAGCATGTATTATAGCCTTTTTTACCTGCATGACATTCCTCAAGATGGCTGTTGCCGTTGATCCAGGTCATGGGTTCAGGCCCTTTGCTCGACCTCCTAGATGCAAACTCCAGTCTTACACTGAGCTTGATTACACAATGCTCAACTTCAGCCAATCCAAGCTTACATACTCCTTGAAACATACATTTGAGTTCACTAACATCCACAAAAGTTTCTCCACCCCATGCCTATCTCATTCCTCTAGAGTTGAGGATGAATCTGATATCAATGCTAGGATTGAAATCATTGGTGGTTGTGCCACACCAAAAGTACGTACTATGGTAATTGAGGTTGCCATAGCTATGGCATCTGGAGTCAATCCTGAGCCAGTCTCTAGTGGGCTTGGTGGGGCCTATTTTCTTCGCACTCGTAATGGTGATCCTATAGCCGTTGCAAAGCCCATAGACGAGGAACCTCTGGCATTCAATAATCCGAAAGGGTTTGGTGGCCGTATGTTTGGCCAACCAGGAATCAAACGCTCAATCAAGATAGGAGAAACTGGCCTGCGCGAATCTGCTGCTTATCTTCTTGACCATGGTGGATTTGCCGGTGTCCCTCCTACAGTATTAGTTAAATTTTCTCATGTCAAATTTAATGTAAATAGTTCAGAACCAGTTCTGGCCCCGCTTTATAAGATTGCATCACTTCAACGTTTTGTAAATCACGATTCTGATGCGGGAGATTTGGGCCCTTCAGGCTTCTCAGTCTCGTCTATTCACCGTATAGGGATACTAGATGTTAGACTGATGAATCTTGACAGACATGCTGGTAACATGCTAGTGAAGCAAGGGCAAGAGAGTTATGCTGTGGGAAAAGCTGAGCTAGTTCCTATAGACCATGGATTTTGCTTACCTGAATCACTTGACGATCCATATTTTGAGTGGTTGCATTGGCCACAATCCACTATACCTTTTTCAGAGTCTGAAGTTGAATACATATCCAGTCTCGATCCATTTAAAGATGCAGAGCTGCTAAGAGTTGAACTTCCAGCAATTAGGGAGTCCTCCATTCGGATTCTTGTGCTTTGCACAATCTTTTTGAAGCAAGCAACGGATTATGGATTTTGTCTCGCTGACATAGGTGAAATGATGACTAGAGAGTTTGAAGGAGAAGAAGAGAATTGGAGTGCATTTGAGAACATCTGTATAAATGCTAGGGCTAGCTTGAACTGTGGAAGAAGTGATGATATTCTTAGCAGTGATCATGATGGAGATGAAGTTTGTGAGATATTCCAATTTGATGAAAATGAATATGGTCCTAATCAGGTTTTAGATTTTGCTCAGAACTTACAGAATTTTGCGGCAATAAGTGTTAAGCCACCAAAAATTTCAAGATATTCGTCGCTGAGTATATTAGATGACTCGATGATGTTTCCTTTGAATGAAAATGTCAATTGCCAAGAATTGAGCACCGGATTGGATGATAATGCAAATGAGGATGAGAATTCCAAGGCAGGTCGCTTGATGAGAAGTGTGAGTTTCGCTTTTCCAAAATATAGCCATGACGCTGAAGGAATTTCTTTCGGGGAAATGAATGATCAGGAATGGGTATTATTCTTGGATAGTTTTGAAAAACTTCTGCCAGAGGCGTTTGAGGGAAGAAAGTCCATAGGCTTGCCAAAGCTAAGGTTGGGATCCTCTTGTGAATTCTGAAGAACTTTTGAAGTGAAAGAACTGCCTGTAAGTAGCAGCATCAGTTAACTGTATGCTAACCCGTAGATTACAATCGTAGGATGTAGATAAAATTTTAGTGCAAGAGGAAAAGCGATGGTAAAGCTGCCATCCTTTCCATCGGCACCCTTTCCTCCTCCTTCCCGTCCATTTCCTACTTTTCTTCTTTTTCGTTTTATTTCTGTTTCTTTATAATCTTAGGAGTTGTATACTAGTGTAGAGGATTTTCCTTTTTATGAATAATCTTGTAATTGCAGTCTTGAATTGTGAGGCATCGAATCCTGACTATTAATTGGTTTAGATATGTATAAATATCTATTAATGATTAATGATTGTGTACAGTATTCCATCTTATCAACCTTATAGAAGAACAATAATATCTGTTGCTATCGATGTGGTTTGATTATTTATGTTATGTGCATTGAAATTTTTTCTCTGTTTAAACATTAGGAAGGCGGTATATTTCATTTTCATAGTGAAGTTCATTCAGGTAGAGAAATTCCAATTGGAGTTTTCAGGGATTTTGGTAATGCTTCCATCAATATTGGCTCAGTTTCTTTGGCATCATTACTCGCGCTCAAGTCATGTCAGGTCGTGTACATGGTGTTGATTGAAGTCCTGCCATGAGGACGAGCAGAACTCTTGTCTAGAACTTTTTTCTTCAGTTGTGTGGCCCTGACTGACATAGGGAAATTTAAATAAAAAAAGTTTGCCCCGCTCCGCCCCTAAAGCTTTGTGAGGGAGGTAAATTACGGGATGTGCTTCAACAGGTCAAGGAACAGGAGCTGTCTGTACACTGCGCCTACAAGGAGTCCAATTTCATGTTTCAAGAATCGACCCCCCATACTGCGACTGCTAGCAAGGTGTGAGATAACATTACTCCTGTCATTTGCACCACTAGACTATGCCCCAAGGGGCGATATAGGAAAACTTAACATTTATCAAGTGATTGCGAACTTGTATTGGCATCATAATTTACTTGTGCTCTTCTTTTCACCAGTTTTCATTGTCGCTTCAGAAGAGTATGACAACAAATTAATTCTATAAACCAATGCATCTTTTTCATATGAATTTGGATTAGAATAGGATCGGGTGTGTTAAATATATTTTTATTATATCTTGCAAAATAATATTGAATAAAAGTAGATTATTAGTTATCTTGAATGCATGAATCTAATGGAATGATTATTGAGAATTGAAATAGATGGAAATATGGGCGTATATGAATCCAATGCAACCATTCACATTAAATTTAATCATTTTTTATCGCTTTTTTAGACTAGAATGATAATAAATAACAAACATATCACAACTTTTTTGATGTCATTATACTTTGATTTTAATAGTAGCTATTGAACTATAAATTAAACATTATTCCTCATGGGAATGTTACTCTTAACTCACAAATCTTATTATTTGTACAACTATCCCATACATTTGTGAATTTCACGCGAAGAAAGAACCCATACGTTAACACTCACGGTTGCTCCCTTAGGAATATCGTAACCTCCAATCTTCACATTGGCATTGGCTTTATGGGGAAGCATTAGTGGAGTTTGAGGGTGCATTCTAATACATTCCTTGATTACACATTGCAAGTAAGGGAGAGATTGGAGATATCGGCTTCTTTCATGAGATGTTCGGTACCAACCACTTGGTTGAGCTCCACTTGAACCTTATTTCGAACCCTCGGATTTCTAACTAGCTCTGCCATTGCCCGTCCACTATGATGGTGGTGGTGTCCATGCCTGCAGAGATCATGTCCTGCACAAGTTGATGTGTACATTTTAATGTTACTTTCAAATAAGTTAGTTTTTATTTTAAGTAAGAAAAGGGTAACTTACTCGACAGAGTCCGATGATAGTGTCCTCACGAAGGTCATATTGCTTTTGAAGAGTTATAAATGCATCGACAAAATGGTTCTTGGTATCGCTAGTCTTCTTGCATGCAATAGTGTGTTCTTCCATGATTTTCTTATTAAGAGCCTATTTGAGAGTGATTTTGAAAATTAATTTTTTGACCGTTGCGAGAAAAGTGGGATCCACCTGTGAGAGAAGAAGTCAAATATGACTGTTGAAATAGTGAAATAACGGTCAAAAAATTAATTTTTTGGGAGAAAAAATCACTCACAAACAAGCTGGAAAGTGATCCTCTCTGGCATAATGCTCGGCAAGAGCTTCATTTTCAGCTTTGAACAAGAAACAGAACCATGGGAGGCACTCAGCTAGGGATTTTTTGGTACCCAACTTAATTCCATTGTTTAGAATCCTTGTTCATCAATTACCCTGTCGTTGTTCATAAACCTCCTCCCAAAAAATAATCTTGTAATTTGGAGGAATGCCATCAATCCCAAATATTCGCGAAGCGTCAAAGCTTTGCCCTTATTTTCTCCAAGAAGTACTAAACCATTTTAACCGTTGAAACCAAATTACAGAATAAAAAGGCCATTTGAAGGTAACTTGTGCTTATATGTAAACTTGCCTCTACTCAGTTTGCCACATGAATATGGTGTCTACTAGACACATCTACTAACATAAATATTAAATAAACAAAAAGAAAAAGCAAGTTTCATAAGTGAAATCTTAGAACCACAAGGAGTACTGCAGTCCTTGAACACGGATTCAACCATGGAAGTAACTTCATCTTCTCCGATAGGTCGAAGCACATCAAGCCTCTTTGTCGAGAGACTCTCAAGAGTACAATTTTCTGACCTTAACATAGTGAGGACCATAATCCAACCAAACAAAAACCATTCAATTTTTGCTAAACTTGGCAATTTGTCTTGTCGGATTCTGATCATTATCTTTGAGCACTTCCTTAGCCAATTCCACATTGAGACCACAACACTCAGGTGCGAACCCGAGTAGACGGAGAAGATTGGGCCATAGACTTGTGACCATTCAGTGAAGCACCAGCTTGATGTCGTAAAGGTTTCCGACCATAGGCAATTGCTGAGGTGTAAGTGTTATGTCTTAAGTCCAATCAACCTTGGACATAAATACTTTTAATATATAATTAATGCAATTTAATGACAGATTTATTATTTGATTAATAGACAATTGAATTAAATAATAGAGTCTGTAAATCCAAATATTCGTAATTTGTTAATCACAAGGAATTGTAATTGTGAGATACAAATGACATATGATTGAATTTTAAATCGTCCGTGGTCGTAAGTAATAGCGAGATACGTATATCGTTATTACGGATAGATCATCAATTGTGACATGTCTTACTTGTGAAGTAAGTAGCTGATTTCACAAGTTAAAGTGTGGTGACACTTGAATAAACACGTAGATGTTTTGTTATAGAACAAAACATTGGAGACCCTCTGAGAGATTCTATATGGATAACTGTTTGAGTTTCAGTGGTTAATTTTTAACGTTCGATAGTGGAATTGTTCCTTTGACTTGAGGTCGTCATGGTACTTTATATGAGAATAGTCATATTTTGACAGTGTTGGATATTGCTCTGTCAAGGGCCACTAATACGGTATCGTTCGGGTATGTCAAGAATTGTATGAAGGTTGTGAACGATCAATAGAAGATTTATCACTTTTAGATAGTAAGAGATTATGATCTGCATTTCATTCACTTAAGTCGATAACAAAATCCTTGGTCAAGGTGTACTCATAAGTTGAAAAGGAGTTTTCGACTTATATTGACTTAATAGTGGAGTAAAAGATATGATCGATAATCGAGATTGACACACTTCCATATCTCGTAATTGATCAGATCCTATTGACGAAGGGAATATAGTTTCACGATAAACAAACGAGTTTAGTTTTGTTATATCACGTGATACTTTACGTCACATGTATTGCCCTGATACATTGCTAGATGTTAATTTGGGACGGTGAGTGTGAATTGGTGATAAATTAAAATGGTGTTTTAATTTATCAATTTTGATTAGATCAAAATAATATTTCACGTCGTTAGGTATCGTGATTGGGAACCTGATGGGTCACACACAAAAGGAGAATTGGAAGATTGTGATTTGTCAATTAATTACTTTAACAAGCGTTGAATAAATTAATTAATTGGGTTGCTTATTTATAGGCCTGAATTAATTAATTCACGAACCGGATTTAATTAAATGGATTAATTAAATATTGAACCAGATCAGGCCAAGCCTGTTCGGGCTTATACAAATATGATTAGGATTTTCAAAATTTGTAGAGAATTCATTATTCTTACTAGTATAAGAAGAAAATTCTAATTCTACAATCTCGTTCTCTGTATGGATTAACGGTGGAGGCTAAACAATTTGACAGCTGTGGTGGCGGATCAAGATCGTTGGAACGAAAGAATAGCAAACAGGGACGGATCCAGAATTGGATCCAAGACCGGGCTGTTACGCGGGAAAAAAAATTTTACATATAAAAAATTGGTTTTTTAAAAAATAAAATAAAAAATACCTTTGGACCTGAGTTTCGGGGGGGGGGACTACAGCACAGTCCAGCCCCCTAAATCTGTCTCTGATAGCAAAGGAGTTTGCAGATCTAGTAAAAAATGTACAATCTTTATCACAGTTTCTATTTAAATACAAAGACGATTCCTGGTAGGAATTGAAAAATTATTTTATTTTCTGCTATGCATGATAAGTAGATTCCCAGCATGAGGCCCTTTGGGAATTGAGGACATCAGAATAATAGCATCCACATATCATCGTCGACCCATCGATCCTTCCTAAGCTAAGAGTGATCGAGTGACTTCCATTAATTGGTCGACCACCATTATTTTGTGAAGCTCCATTTGTTCTTTATGTAATATCAATTAGTAAATTCTTTAAAACAGTGGTAAAATTAAAAATCCCTAAGAACAGTTGTATACCTTTTCTATTGCTTTTTGCTCGAATTCTTTAAGTAGTCATCGGATTTATCTCAATTCACCCAACCCAACATGCCTGCACGGAAAGAAGTCGAGTTTTAAAAAATTGTGAATGATCTTATCAATAATAAATGTATATCTCCTCAAAAATTTAAATTGTGTTCAAGCTATCCCCAACCAAAAAAATCTTATAATAAGAATAAGAGGTTCTTCTCGATCAATCTTTTTGCCCTTAATTCTTTGAAAATCATAAGTATTCATGTCAAATTTTAATTCATTCATTTGGATTCTTCTTGTTAATACTCACTGTCGATGATCCATGAGCAGGAAATAGACAATAGGAGAAGTAAACATTTTAGACATGAATCAAATTGGACAATATGGTTGATACTAGGGATGAAAAAGAAATTTAGTTAAACAAAATATTTGTGGCAGCCTCAAATGGGGATGAGGATTCTCCGCCTAATCAGGTAAATGGGGCGAATACAGGGAACATGACCCCACACCGTTATCCGTCCTCTTTAAAGTCCATTTTATGATAGGGTTAATTATATGAATGATCATTGAACTTTACCCTATGTTACTACTTAGTCACTGAACTTAAAAATGTAACTTAATGATCACTGAACTTCGTCAAGTGTTACTACTTCATAATCGAACTTTAAAATGTATCTCAATGGTCATCGAACTTTGCACCATGTTACCCATCCGTCACTCAAATGAAAAAATCCGTTAAGTCCAACAAACGGCGTCAACTTGAGTGACGGATGGGTAATACAGTGCAAAGTTCGGTGATCATTGAATTATATTTTTAAGTTCAGTGACTAAATAGTAACATAGGGCAAAGTTCAGTAACCATTAAGATATATTTTTAAATTGAATTATTAAGCCCTTCTTTGAGTCCTATTCTTTCAAAAAGAAAAAAAATATATACATTCTTCAATAGTGATTTGACATTATTCAACCACACATTTTTCAATAAAATAATATTACACGCAAATTCAAAATTTTTCCTTACTTTTAATTACACATTTCCCGTTAATATACTATTCAAAAATTCATTTTATCCCTCAAAATGGGGATCAAACAAGGGCTAAACTTCTCAAATCGATCTCCATGAAAGAAGAAATCAAAGAACATGAAGGGAAAAAAGATAAAACAGAAAATCAGAGACCTATAAATTAAATACAGATATAAAATTGTTGTTAATATTCATAAATCAAGGTGAAAAAGTACGTTTGATTTTTAGATCAACTGGTATCAGTTCATCGTATTTCAAACTCCGCATAAATAGATTGAAAGAGAAATAGTTGGAACACTAAAAGAAATTGATAAAGAAAAATTAAATAAAAGTACAAAAATGTCCGCATAGTGCCAATGTAAATGAGATCGATTTGATTTTTCAACTATGTTACTACTTAGTAACTGAGCTTAAAAATGTAACTCAATGGTCACCGAATTTCGTCAAATGTTACTACTTCATAACCGAACTTTAAACTGTATCTCAATGGTCACCGAACTTTGCACCGTGTTACCCATCCGTCATTCAAGTTGATGCCGTTTGTTGGACTTAACAGATTTTTCCATTTGAATGATGGATGGATAACACAGTGCAAAGTTCGGTGATCATTGAAATATATTTTAAAGTTCGGTTATGAAGTAATAACATTTGACGAAATTCAGTGACCGTTGAGTTACATTTTTAAGTTCAGTGACTAAATAGTAACATAGGGCAAAGTTCAGTGACCATTCATATAATTAAACCTTTTATGATATAAGTTTTTTATCATACGAAAAGAAAAAAAATTATCATCATTTTTAAAATAAACATAAGTTATTCTACAAATTGAAAAAACTAATGATTTTCATCAACTAGTGACATAAAAAAATAAAATAAATTAGATGATAAATAGGGCAAAGGACTTTCTCCATCGTGATCCTAGCCTGTCCCATCTTAACCGGGTATGGGGACAGAACCCATGGGACAGGGGATGGGAATGATTGCCCCGGCCTCCTCCTTTGCCATCCCCTCGATATGACAATTGACAAGATAATTCTCAAACATGTTTGGATAAACTCAAAAGATTCTTATGAGGGGCATTTTCGGGCCATACCACTCTTCGGCTGCTAGAATAATCTCCTTTGAAGGACTTTTATACTTTGCCAAACATGATACTTTTTTCATAGATCTGGATTCGAACCTATTCTGTCTAGTACCGCTTTAATACTGTTTATCAAAATGTCATTCGTTTTTTACGACTGAAGACGTAATCTTTCATTAATGAATTTCCCATGAAAGGTAAAGCCACAAGCTAAGTGGATGCTGAATCAGACTTCAGCAACGCGGGTGAAAGAATGACAAAATTATTCAAATTGGACAAGATAAAACAATATACGAAGCGAATCAAATACTCTTTTTCAATCAATTCTTAATATTTGGCTTACAGGAAAGGTTACAAACTCTGTAATCTACCCGAGTCCCAAAAAAAGAACCTTTTTTTTTTTTTTTTGAGAAAAAATAAAGGGATCATAAGTATTTTCTTCTCATTCTAACCCCTTTTACCACTCCTAAAAGCATGTTTGTTACATAGTATAGACAATGCTCCACTGTGTAATAGATATGATTTTAACTTCTTTCTTCATGTCTAGTGCTCCTATATTCAATCTTCCGATCAAACATTCCATCGAAATCTCTATCTGGCTTAAGGTTTTGGAGCTTCCATAGCTATCATGGGAGGCTGCGGCATTGGAGCGCTGATTACTATTGCTGGAACTGGCAGTACTTTGTTAGTTTCACGTTTGTGCATTTCTATGATGTTTGCTTCAATATCTTCAATCATCATTGTTTTGTTGTCTCCAGTGATTCCTAATTTTACTGGTTCAGGAATTTCCTCAGCGTCCTTTTCCTTGTATTCCTTATATTTTCCCCACAGAACCGAGTAAAGTCCAATCACAATCAACACGCCCCCAAGAACGCTGTAACAAAAGAGACTAAATTTCAGTTGTGGAAATAAAATTAAAGCGCGATTTTGTACACAGTACTGGACAGTATAAGAAAATTACCCTCCAACGTATATCTTTTCAGCAAGAATGAATGAGCCCATGATGGCCACAATAATCATCATTAATGGACTGAAAGAAGTCACAAAGACAGGCCCTCTTTTCTTCATCACAAGACCTTGGACGTAGTATGCAATGCTTGATGAAACAATACCCTGTATTGATACGATAAACAGTCACATATCATTCAGTTTGTACATATATGTGAGTAGTTGTGTCAGTCGGGTAGCCACTTGCATCGAGGCACAGAACGGCATTCTGACAACCCCCAAGCGTTCGGCCCCCACTTTGACACCAGAATATGTAAGGAGGGAGGGAGAGGTCAACTTACAGCATAGGCAGCTGCTAGGAGGTTCATGTCCCACCCAATGGCCCAAGCAGAAGATTTGTGTTCCATCACAAAGGTCACAGCTATGGATTGCAGTGTTCCCATAAAGCACACAAGGGCTGTGAGGGAAAGGTGGGCAGTGTATTTTTTCAGTGTGTGAGCCTGTGACAAGAACCAAATAAATCCTTAATTCCTTATATTCTTGTTCATTGTGCTGTTCAATATTGCATAGTACCACGTGCAGAATTCACACAGTAGGTGTTAGGTACCTGAAGGATGAAGAAAGAAGCCCAAGCAAAAGTAGCAATGATAAGTAGAATTGATCCTTTAACCCAATCTTTGTCAGTAGCTTCAATGGTGTCAGGGACATCGGATTTTTTAGGATGAACAAAATTGGACCAAACCATGTTGATTACATGACCTTTGTAAACTGTCATTAACATGGCTCCACCCACTGTCACTATTGTTCCCACCACCTTTGCTTGGCATCTCACTTTCTTTAAATCCAACTTCTCCATCCTATATATTCAATTTACCACATTAAATTTGTTCGCTCAAAATATTTCTGGCTTGTTTGGTAGGGCGGATTCGGAAGGAACACTCAGTACTAAAGAAGAAGAAAAAAGTTCCAAGGAGAAGAAAGAAAAAATGTGTACCTGCAGAGGACTGCCATAACAAATGTCATTGCAGGAAGCATGTTACTCATGGCACATGAGAAAGTTGGAGAAGTAAATTTAAGTCCAGCATAGTAGAAGTTTTGATCAATGACAGGCCTGTACAACAACAAAAATTTAAGCATTATTTCAATAAATTTAGATTTCCATGTAAAATTATATACCAAAGTTTTCTGTGCATGTTAGAATTAAACTACTCACCCAAGAAGTCCCAATACAAATAGCTGCAAAAAAATTGGAAATGTAATTTTTGGCCTCACTTTTCTGTCGTAGAATGGACAAATCACGAGTTAGAATTTGAAATCACGAAAAAAGCAAATATAAAAATAATTGGGCATTGTTTGGTAAGTGAACTATACAACACTGGACAATATTAAGAGAGAAAAAACCGTCCAGTCTTGTTCAATACTATATACCGAACATGCTCGATAGATTCGTTTGGACTTCTTATATGGTGTACCTTTCTAGTACAAGAGCAAAGGGTGCAATAACTGCAGTGGCAAAGGCATGTCTGTAAACCACCAGTACAAAATGACTCATGCCTCTATTGAGAGAAACTTTTGTAATAATGTTCATTCCTGCATAACCAAATTGCAAAGAAATCATAGCTATATAAGGCTTAGCCTTCTCAAAGAAATTGCCAAGGCAACTTTTTCCTTCCATACTTTTTTTTTTTTACTTTGACAAAAACAAGAAAGTTTTGAGAATGAGAAAAGAAGAGGAAAACACTTGAAGAGTTTGTGTTTGTCCTAAGGAAGAATAGAAGTTAGATGCTAAAATATTTATAAGCTCTTGGAGTGAAGGGGGTGGGTGGTCTATTCAGATATTATAAACTTACAAGAGTTAAGATATCCTGATGGGAAAAAAAACAAAAAAAATTAAATGGTGAATGAGATGTAACAACAATTTTAATTTCAAATTCTCTTGTTAATTTTCCATTGAATTGGAATAAACTATGAGATGTAAAAACAATTCTGATTTCAAATTTTCTAGTTAATTTTCAGTTGAATTGATGGTTACCAAGCCTTAATGATTATTGAAATTTTTTAATTTTTAATTTTAATTTTTTAATTTTTTTTTTGGGTGTGTATTAATGCAAAATTAATAGAAAATTGAAATCCCCCTCAACCTAGTATTGTATAAGGAGGTGTCTCCTTATTCCACACAAAAAAAAATTTGAGAGTTCTTTCCTTTCTCTAAATAATTTTTTTCTCACTTGATGATAGAAACGTGAGCTTCCGAATCCGCCTAAAGTGGCGACGAAATGTTAGTCAGCTGCTTTTAACCATTATATCCGTGGGGATAGGCGCCATTAGTAATTTTGTACCATAGTGGGAGACGAATTCGTTTTAAGGAAATTGTGGGCAACATAGGCCTCAAATTCTTCCAATACTATTACTATATCAACAACCAAATTTTCTCTCTTTAATTGTTACTCTATTTAGTATAATATTTATTTCCAGTATTTTATATTTCCAGCGGTATGTGAGAATCTCTCTTCCATACGTTTGCACTATCCCATTTTATTGTATCTAATTGAATATTCTTTTCCTCATAGTGGATAAGTGATTCGATAGCTACTAAAACAAAGGCGAGTTTAGTGCTATCCTGATGCTATTAAGGGGCCTGATAATATAAGGGCCACATATCGTTGTGGTGCCGGAATATAATGGATCTACCGAAATATTGGTGGTGTCCTGGCCACATATAGATTAAGGTAAAAATTGATCACTAACTTTACCTCTACTTGTTATTTTATACAAATTTGACATTTATTTAAGTTTTACTGTTAGGACCCTCCGAGTCAGCAGGTCCTAATAAGAGGGGAATCACCTTGTAGGACAAGTGTCCGAGCCCACAAGTGTCATGGGTGAGCCACCTTATAGGACACGTGTCTGGGCCCATAAGTGTTTGACCCACATGAATCCAAGGCCACGTATAATCGCAGCAAGCGGCGATCCCAACGAGCTGAGGCCAAGACCAAATGATCCCAACACCAAATCTCCTAGTCAATCTTTTGATGTGATTGACATAATGTATCTGCTACCGCCGCCATCGCCAACCCATCTAGTCAAGTCCACAGCCTTACGCTAGGCAACGTATGATAGTGACAATGACAACCTATTATTGATTGACGCATGCGATGGGAAGTGGTAACTGTCAAGATGCAGTCACATGTCCCTCCATCCAACGATCATTATTCATATTTTTGTACTATAAAAGCTCGCACTTAATGTCATATGAAGGTAATACAATTTTATGCTTTCAGAGTACATATATCTCGCTATACATGTTATACTCAAAATCGAAAAAAGCCTTGTCACACCTATTTAGTTGAACATCAAACTGACTTGACCATCGGAGTGGGCGCGGCCGACTCCACCCTTTGTTGGAGGACGTCATGTGTGACTAATGGTTTGTCCTAATGTGCAGAAAACAAGCTTGCGTGGACGTGAGAGATATTGTGATTTGTTGGCAACGTCAGAGGTACATTGTGAGGGGTCAACATTTACTGTAATAACACAGTACATCCAGTAGAATTCGAAATTAAACACTTTCCTTTTTCAACATGGGTACTCCAACCACACTTCTTGGTTTGTGAATTGAATTCCAGATAAGCAACAACATTATATTTGGTAGGCAGGAAAGTTAGCAATTTGAATACAATTACTTCAAAAGTTGATGAATAGCATTAATTAGCATTCCTTACACGGTTTCGTTTCTCCAATTCTATCTTGGCTAGCTTGCACTTTGGATACGGATTATTTGATAATCTAACTTTTTTTTTTGCTTTTTGTTAAATAAATGACACAGAGTCCACTTTCTGAGGTTAAAATTTGCTTTAATTAGTACTTGGAAAGTAATGTTTCTGTCGGGTTTCATGTTGTTAAGGCGTGTACATATATATTAAGTTGTACTAAAATGAAAAACGTGACACGGCACTATAGGAATAAAGTTGATGTGGATTTCATAAAATTTATGGTAAAAAGGAAGTGCAATTTCTACTCAAAGTTCTCAAACAAAATGATTCTTTTAATAATGTATTTTCATAACAAAGGCGAAGCTAGAGATTTTGTCCAATGCGGGCACAATTTTAGGTATTGGCTATAGTATTTTTTTGGTCAAAATTAGTCTACAAATGAAAAGAGCTTCACATGATTTTGAGAAATCCTGGTGCATAAGAAAACATAAGATTTTGAACAAGTACAATGAGATTTTTTTTAATCACAAAACTACTATGACTTTGATTCAATATTCGTATAAAGCTGGAGATTAATTCTTGAAAAAGTCTTATAGTTCAAGATTGGGATAAAATGGGAAAAGATATTTTGTGATTAATCTGGATATGAGCTCTGATAATGGAGGTGTGAGAACTTGAATGGAGTATAATCCCGCTTGGCTAAATATGCCACGCTAGCTCTCGTTTAGCTAGTGCTGTATGGCTATCAAGACATATGGCCGACATAATTTGTGGAAAATTAAAAAGGGAATTTTGGTCTAGTCAAGGCATTGTTTTTTTCCAATATAATAATATATTTATATACATGCACATATATGTTGAATTTAACCCCCAAATAAAATAGAATTTTATTTAAGAAATAAACTTACACAATTTTTTTCTCAATTGTGTAAATAAATTCCACGCACACACAGCACTCAATATATATACTGAGACTTTGAAAAGACCTCCAAGAGCCGAGGTTGCTTGAATACTGATGGCTGAGCAAATTCAAACACCCGATTGCCAAATGATTTAGATTCATCAAAGTAAAACCTTGGAATCATAACATAAAAACAAAATCCCTAATGAAGAACCATCGATTGTCCATGAGAGCCCTGTGTTTCCCAAAGTCCAATGCAAGCACCTTCATGAGAGCCCCATTTTTTTTGAAAGTCCAGTGCAGGCCAATGCTCGCGTTGGCCTCCATGTAGCTCTGCCCCTGTTTCATAAGTAGGTCCTTATCTTAAAAATCTCTTTTTTGGTGAGAAAAAAAAATTCCCAAATGCTTTTTAATGTATGCACTAGCTAACTACAATTCTATCTCGTGCTACAATTCCTCTAATCTAATTTAATAGAACTATGTCACAACTATAAAAGTGTGGTTTAATCATCTCAAATTCGATGCTAGTAAATCTTTTGTCATTGTAAGTTATAATATATTCACCAGACTTGCTACAAATACAAGGGGAGGAGCCAAGGATTGGTGACAGGGTCGAGGTGGCATGGCCTCGGCCCTTGATCTGAATTTTTAAAATTTAGATCGAGGCCGAGGTTGTGCCACCTCGACCTTGTCACCAATCCCTCTCCCTTTTGCATTTTTGTATATTCACTTCATTACTTTGAAATAAGTGTAGAGCTCATAATAGAGAAAGGCATTGTTAGTATGCTAGTCTATGTCGAAACATTACTTGGAAACCACCTTATGGGGAGTGTATATATATATATATATATATATATACATACATACACACACACATACATACATATGAGAATTTTTTTGACATTTTCAAGACTCAATAAGGTATAGAACCCAAAAAAATTTTAGTGAACAATGAAATTTCACGATTGTTGTTCTCAAATTAACTATCAACTTTTGAGATGACATTGAATACTCAATATTTAGGAAGTGATGTTGTTTGTCGCCTTGGCCCAACCTTGCCTTGTGTTTTCATGGCCAAAAATGGCCTCAATAATTTCAAGCAGAATACGGATTGACTACAATAACCCTAGTGGAAAGAAAGACCGGCCTAAGTGGAGCACCCAAAAATGGGCGTCTAATCACTCCCCAATCATCTCGACATGGAGTAGTGTCAAGCAACGTAAGACCCACAATTGGTTCATGCGATGCAGCCATGGTCGTCAATTTTGTCACAAGAAAATTATACTTACTATATCCCATTTATATAAGCCGACTTTTCTTATTTTTTTGTCTCAATTATATAGTCACGTTTCTCTATTAAGAATGTTTTATTTTATCTGTTTATTAATATACCATTATTTAATTTGTTTAGTTATAACCAATTTTTTATTTAATTTTGAAATTGTACAAAACTCTATAAATAAAGGTAAATTAGGAAAGCTTTTGGTAAAAAAAATATTTTTTTAATAATAATAAATAAGATTTATTAATCAGAGTGAGAAATAAAGCCAGCCTATATAAATAAGACGGATGGAGTATAATGTTTTCTTGGATGATGTAGGGGGTTTGTGGGTAAGGGTAAGGGTAAGGGTAAGGGTAGGGGTAGGGGTGACAACGGAGTCATTAGATGTCTTGCATTGTTATAAGGATTGTCGTACATGGAAAAGTGAAAATGTCCCTTTGATAATAAACAATTTCATACTATTTATAAATTTAAGTCATTATAAAATGGAGAAACTTGTTTATCTTACACTTACCTTGAAAATGTTCTTTCGAATGTAAATTTGATCACGTATTTTCAAAGAATCGATTGACCCTTGTTTTGATGATTAAATGACCTCAAAAGTTTGTTTATTGGCATCCGGATTATACTCAATCTAATAATGTTTTACTTATCAATAGATTAAATGCTTTTATCTTTAAGAAACTATAAGGCTTGATCTTGGGACAATTATTTACTTTCAAACGATTTTAAATGGTTTCAAAATTATAAACTAATAGAGAAAGTAGAAATTTATATATTGAAGTAAGAAGTCGAAGGTACTGAAATTTTTTTGACGAGCAATGTTATTCAACATAATTGGTGTCAAGTAGCAATTTAG